GGACTGGCCTCCTGCCTGGGAAACTATTGCTAAAACCAGATGAGAAGCTGCTGGGCTACTATTCCTGCATAATCTTAGAACACCAACATTTTACCCAAGTTTTTTTTAGTCCAACTTTAAAGAGAATTGGCTTTGCTTCAGACTTTACAGCTTCACTGATGGGCTCTAGTCCGGATTTTTTCTGGATCTGAGTTTCCACCCCTTGTTTCTGGATTCAATATGTTTGTTTGGAGTTTATTTTTATTTTTGTGTGACTTATTTAGACAGAATTTAACCCTTATTATTAGTAATACTTTCAGAGTGAGTGTGTGCTCTTTGCTTAGGTCCTGCCAGCTCTGCACTGCCACATAAGCACAAACACATGTCATGAATGGACACCTTTGTAAACACGGCGTAAGTAACGTAGACTTAAAAAGCGTGAAAAGTCAGATAAAACGCGGTAAATTCACGTGACTAACAGAGTAAATATGTTCGTACAGATAACACCGAAACCCAAAAACGCTTACCTGAGCCCGGAGCAGCCGCGGGGAAACTTAAATCCACTGCTTTACTGAGCAAACTTCTTCATGTCAGAGACGGAGCTGCTGCTGCGTGGTGACGTCAGCGTGACCGCTTCCTGGTTCATGTTTCGATCGATAAAAATAAATAAATAAAAATAAAAATAAAAAATAAATATATATTAATATAGAGTTAATATAGATGAACAATTATGTAGTAAAAGCTAATTAATTTATCAGTTCAAATGTTTTTGTATTTTTAAATTTTTTCGTCATTTTTATTTATTTATTTACAACTTAAACTTGGCCAACCGACGGAAAAAGGTTACGTTTGCATTTACATGACGGATCTGAGATTCAAAGGTATAACTACTCACATTATAATTAATACATATTTCCTTAAATTATGTATATAGATAACTACAAAGAATCTGTTACATACAGATACAGAAAGAGTCACAATATTATGAAGATCAAAGAAATACATAAGCTGACGAATTACACTTCTAAAAGCCGTCATAGTGACTGCTCTTTTTACTAATCAATATCTGATAAGAAACCTGGTATGGAAGATTTTTTGTGTCATCAGATTTTGAATTTTTTTTAGCTTGAATTCTTCAGTTTGAAATTTTTAACCCTGAAAAAGCAAGTTTGAATATTTTTATCTTTTACATTTCAGTCACTAAAAATGCAGTTTACAAATTTCAATGTGATTAAAATTTCAAAATGACATATTCACCCTCAAAATATTCATTTTTTTTTTTCAATGAAAAAAAAAAAAGGATTATTTGTTCCATCAGAAATTGAATTTTAAATGGACCCGAATTCATGTATTTGAATGTTTTTAACATCTTGAATATTTTTTCTGTGAATTTCAGTCACTGATTATCAATTTCATAATGTTAAATTCAACAGTCAAAATTCAACGAGAAAAAAACAGTAGCTCAGTTGGTAGAGCATTGGCCTTAAGGCCAGAAGGTTGTGGGTTCAATTCCCACCTCTACACCTTCTCCACCGACTCTCACTGATGACTGCTGTTGTTGTGTCCTTGGGCAAGACACTTAACCCCACTTTGCCCAAAGCCCCCACTGAAAGATCAAGGCTATGCTCACACTCAGAGAGCAGCCGTCCTCCTGTGGACTCACCACCTGCAGAGGGTCAGTGAGGGGCTGGTGCTATGAGACTTGGGTGGCATCTCTGATTGCCACCCCCCTGACCCAGAAATGGATTAAAGGGAAGAAAATGGATGGATGGAAATTGATAATCAGTGACTGAAATTCACAGAAAAAAAATATTCAAGATGTTAAAAACATTCAAATAGATGAATTCAGGTCCATTTAAAATTCAATTTCTGATGGAACAAATAATCCGTCTGTATTTTTACATTGAAAAAAAAAATATATTGAATATTTTGAGGGTGAATATGTCATTTTGAAATTTTAATGACATTTAAATTTGTAAACGGAATTTTTAGTGACTGAAAAGTAAAGATAAAAATATTCAAACTTGCTTTTTCAGGGTTAAAAATTGCAAACGGAAAAATTCAAGCAAAAAAAATTCAAAATCTGACGACACATAAAATCTTCCATACCAGGTCAGCTGTCAGACACAGGTGGTGTTTTTCCTCCATTAATAAAGTTATATAAAGCACCTATGATAACTCTAGTAAAACCGGTTTAAATATTAAACAAATGTTAATCAATGGGCACTGTCCTTTATCAGAAATACAGACAAAAATATTGATTAATTTTGGGCTTGTCTCTTTACAATGAACATTCACCTGTGATGGAGGTATTTGCTTTGATTAATGCAAATAATACACAATTTACAAAACATTTTTACATTCTCACACCCTCTCTGTGTTTGTGTCTCCGTGTCTGTGCATGTGTGTGTGTGTGTGTCTGTGCATGTGTGTGTGTGTGTGTCTGTGTGTGTGTGTCTGTGCATGTGTGTGTGTGTGTGTCTGTGCATGTGTGTGTGTCTGTGTGTGTGTGTCTGTGCATGTGTGTGTGTGTGTCTGTGCATGTGTGTCTGTGCATGTGTGTCTGTGCATGTGTGTGTCTGTGCATGTGTGTGTGTGTGTGTGTGTGTGTGTCTCTGTGTCTGTGTGTCTGTGCATGTGTGTGTGTGTCTGTGCGTGTGTGTGTCTGTGTGTGTGTGTGTGTGTGTGTGTGTGTGTGTGTGTCTCTGTGTGTGTGTGTGTGTGTGTGTCTCTGTGTGTGTGTGTGCACTTGTTTTCAACTCCTGGTGGGTTCCATAACCTGAGATTCCACTCACGTCATGGGGACTGGTTTTACGTGGTGGGGCCCGAACACCGGACCCCACTGGTCCAAGCTTAATAATCAATGGGTAATGCTTTTCTAACGGTCCTTATGCAGTCTCTGTAAAAATATGGAAAGGACCCCTGGAGGTTTACTTTCCTGAAAAAAGTGTGTTATGTGTCGGAACCCTGGTGGTGGGTTGCGGGATATCAAGGAGGGGCACACTGGGGCAATTTCAGTCCAGCAGGCTGGAGCCAATCATGGAGCAGCACAACAGAGGAAATGACATCAGGTGTCAGGCTAGAAAAAGGTGCAAGTGTGTGGTTCATTAGGCTGCAAGAAATCATGGAGGAGCACACTGAAGCGCACGCTTACAAACCACTGGTAAGTGCTGACTACAAGTCATGACTTCAAATTGTTATATAGAATGATTACAAATTATTTGTTGTTTGTGCAGCTTAGTCAAGAGTCCCTAATTGATGAAGTCGACTCAGATTCTGACGATTTAACTGTCAAGAAGAAACCTGTAAAAAAGTATGGAAAAAGAAAAATCAAAAACACTTTTCTTCAAGACTCGGAAAGTGACGAACCAAAGGCAAATAAGATTGTTATCATGCAGCTGCAAAAGAAGAAAAATGGGGGGCGAGTTTACAGCAAGAGACACTTCTGCCTCTACTGTTCAATGTCCTGCCACAAAATGTCCCGTCATTTGACTAGAAAACATGGAAATGAAAGTGACGTAGCCAGAGCATTGGCTCTACCTGTGAAATCTAAAGCACGTAAACTTCAGTTTGATTTGATCAGGAATAGTGGAAACCGTGAGCACAATTTTGAGGTTTTAAAGGCCGGCATTGGAACTTTAGTCCCAGCTAAACAGCCAAATTCCCCAGTTAAATCCAGTGAGTTTTTGCACTGTATAGACTGTGGGGCATTGCTTAAGCGAAAGTCGCTGTGGAGGCATGTGGCCAGGTGCCGGCTTTCACAGAAAGATGCCCAGGCTAAACCAGGTAGAAGTAGGGTCCAGTCCCTCTGCTCCCTAGCCCAGCCTGTACCGGAGGGCATCAGCAAAAAGCTGTGGTCTTTAATTTCGGCAATGCATCAGGATGAGGTCACGGGTGTTGTCAAAGCAGAAAAGGGGATTCTGAGACTCGGAGAGCACCTGTACTTAAAACACGGGCATGATAAGACTAAGCATGATTACATTAGGCAGAAAATGAGAGAAGTCGGTAGGTTAATTAACGAAGCAAAAACCGCAGGGAAACTGAAAACAATTAAGGATTTCTTTATTCCTTCCAACTTTAACCATGTGATTGATGCAGTCAGGTCTGTGGCTGGATATGATGAGGAAACAAATCAATACAAGACTCCATCCTTGGCCCTCAAACTCGGCCATAGCCTCAGAAAGCTAGCAGATATTCTTGAATGTGACTCAAAAATGGAGCATTGTGTTGATGAACTATTTATTAAAAACCTCCAACGAAGCCGGCTGCTTTTTGAGAAGAGGTGGGACGTCTGTGTTTCTTCTGCTGCCCTACAGACCCTCCGGCAAGCCAAGTGGAACACTCCGGACCTGCTCCCTCTGACTGAGGACGTTAGAGCCATGCATGCACATATTGAGGTATGTCGACCTGAATATGTGCAAACCCTAATAAGTGAGCCAACGTCTAAGCATTGGTCTAAACTGGCAGTTTTGACTCTTTGTGAGGTCATCATTTTCAATCGAAGAAGGGAAGGTGAGGTTTCAAAGATGCCACTGACAGCCTTTACCTTAAGAAGTAAGACTGGGATCCATTCTGACATTGCTCTGGGACTGTCCCAACTTGAGAAAAAGCTGTGTCAGCATTTTCAACGCATTGAAATTAAAGGGAAAAGAAGTCGGAAAGTGCCGGTTCTTTTGACTCCTGAAATGATTGCTTCGATGGAGGTGCTGGTGGAGAACAGAAGGGCCTGTTCCATCTCTGACCATAACCCATACTTCTTTTCCCGCCCGGGCGCAGACACCCACATCAGGGGATCAGACTCCCTACGCCAGGTAGTCAAAGAATGTGGTGCGGTGCATCCAGAGATGCTATCCTCAACCAAACTTAGAAAGCACATAGCTACTATGTCTACAGTTCTCAATATGAAAGAGAATGAGATGGACATACTAGCCAACTTCCTCGGCCATGACATTCGCATCCACAGGCAATATTACAGACTACCAGAGGGGACACTGGAGCTGGCCAAAATCAGCAAAGTGTTGATGGCCATGGAGCAGGGAAGAGTGACGGAATTCAAAGGAAAGAGCCTCGACCAGATACAAATTGAGCCTGAAGGTAATTCTTGATATTATTAAAATATGTATGATTTTTTTCCCCTAAAGGCCACTTGTATTTTTATTTTCTGTGCGACAGGGAGAGCAGTAGAGATCCTCTCACAAACGGACGGGCTAAAAGAAACTTCAAGCGGAGAACCTTCAACCATTCATCCAGATGCACCCCATGGTAGTGGCAGTGCCCCTTCTGGTAAGTGTACCAGGTGGGGGATTACAGCCAGGCTGCTTGGTCCTAACCCTGGGAGTGTATATTGCTAATATATTTTTATTTCTCTCCCTAGAACGTGTAAGAAAGCCATGGTCTGCATCTGAGGTGAAGGCTGTGGAGAAGACCATGACACCTTTCATACAGACTGGAAAGGTCCCTGGGAAGTCTCACTGCCTGGCCTGCATTAATGCCTCCCCAGATGACCTTAGACATCGGACATGGAGTGGCATTAAATTCTATGTCAAAAATAGAATCACTGCAATTCGAAAACAAAATCTAAAATAAAATTCCTTTAAAATAGTTGTTTGGTTTCTATTGACTGTTTTGTATTACTTAAAGTAGTCCCAGTAAAAAAAGATTATGTCTATGGGTCCCATTCTGAACGGCCCTGTCAAAGGGACCCACCAGGTAACAAAAACGTGTATGTGTGTGTCTGTGTGTGTGTGTGTGTGTGTGTGTGTGTCTGTGTGTGTGTGTGTGTGTCTCTGTGTGTGTGTGTCTCTCTGTGTGTGTGTGTCTGTGCGTGTGTGTGTCTCTGTGTGTGTGAGTGTGTGTGTGTGTCTCTGTGTGTGTGTGTCTCTCTGTGTGTGTGTCTGTGCGTGTGTGTGTCTCTGTGTGTGTGAGTGTGTGTGTGTGTCTCTGTGTGTGTGTGTGTGTCTCTGTGTGTGTGTCTGTGTGTGTCTCTGTGTGTGTTTGTGTGTGTCTCTGTGTGTGTGTGTGTGTGTGTTTCTGTATCACACCATATTATATAGTAATGTGTTACAGGTTCTGCAGGTTATTCTTTTGTTACTGCAGCTACTGTTCATTCTGCTCATTCTTCTTATAAGATTCTAAAACCTGAGTCAGAATCAGTTACATGTATCAAGAGCCGCAGAAATACATAGAATAAACAATCATGTCTATAGTCTATCAATACTCTATGTTGACCCTGGGGTAGTAAAAATACTGAACTCAAAGAAACCACAGAAACCACAGAAGCTAAAGAAGCCACAGAAGCTACAGAAGCTGAAGAAGCCACAGAAGCTACAGAAGCTGAAGAAGCCACAGAAGCTGAAGAAGCCACAGAAGCCACAGAAGCTAAAGAAGCCACAGAAGCTACAGAAGCTGAAGAAGCCACAGAAGCTACAGAAGCTGAAGAAGTCACAGATGCTGAAGAAGCCACAGAAGCTGAAGAAGCCACAGAAGCTGAAGAAGCCACAGAAGCTGAAGAAGCCACAGAAGCTGAAGAAGCCACAGAAGCTGAAGAAGCCACAGAAGCCACAGAAGCCACAGAAGCTGAAGAAGTCACAGAAGCTAAAGAAGCCACAGAAGTCACAGAAGCTAAAGAAGCCACAGAAGCCACAGAAGCCACAGAAGCTGAAGAAGTCACAGAAGCTGAAGAAGCCACAGAAGCTGAAGAAGCCACAGAAGCCACAGAAGCAACAGAAGCTACAGAAGCCACAGAGGCTAAAGAAGCTACAGAAGCTACAGAAGCTACAGTACAGAAGCTACAGAAGCCACAGAAGCTGAAGAAGTCACAGAAGCTGAAGAAGCCACAGAAGCTGAAGAAGCCACAGAAGCCACAGAAGCTGAAGAAGTCACAGATGCTGAAGAAGCCACAGAAGCTGAAGAAGCCACAGAAGCTGAAGAAGCCACAGAAGCTGAAGAAGCCACAGAAGCCACAGAAGCCACAGAAGCTGAAGAAGTCACAGAAGCTAAAGAAGCCACAGAAGTCACAGAAGCTAAAGAAGCCACAGAAGCCACAGAAGCCACAGAAGCTGAAGAAGTCACAGAAGCTGAAGAAGCCACAGAAGCTGAAGAAGCCACAGAAGCCACAGAAGCTGAAGAAGTCACAGATGCTGAAGAAGCCACAGAAGCTGAAGAAGCCACAGAAGCTGAAGAAGCCACAGAAGCTGAAGAAGCCACAGAAGCCACAGAAGCCACAGAAGCTGAAGAAGTCACAGAAGCTAAAGAAGCCACAGAAGTCACAGAAGCTAAAGAAGCCACAGAAGCCACAGAAGCTGAAGAAGTCACAGAAGCTGAAGAAGCCACAGAAGCTGAAGAAGCCACAGAAGCCACAGAAGCTACAGAAGCTACAGAAGCCACAGAAGCTAAAGAAGCTACAGAAGCTACAGAAGCTACAGTACAGAAGCTACAGAAGCCACAGAAGCTGAAGAAGTCACAGAAGCTGAAGAAGCCACAGAAGCTGAAGAAGCCACAGAAGCCACAGAAGCTGAAGAAGTCACAGATGCTGAAGAAGCCACAGAAGCTAAAGAACCCACAGAAGTCACAGAAGCTAAAGAAGCCACAGAAGCCACAGAAGCTGAAGAAGCCACAGAAGCCACAGAAGCTAAAGAAGCCACAGAAGCTAAAGAAGCTACAGAAGCTACAGAAGCTACAGAAGCTACAGAATCTACAGAAGCTACAGAAGCTACAGAAGCCACAGAAGCTAAAGAAGCTACAGAAGCTACAGAAGCTACAGTACAGAAGCTACAGAAGCCACAGAAGCTGAAGAAGCCACAGAAGCTACAGAAGCCACAGAAGCTACAGAAGCCACAGAATCTACAGAAGCCACAGAAGCTAAAGAAGCTGAAGAAGTCACAGATGCTGAAGAAGCCACAGAAGCTGAAGAAGCCACAGAAGCTGAAGAAGCCACAGAAGCTGAAGAAGCCACAGAAGCCACAGAAGCCACAGAAGCTACAGAAGCTAAAGAAGCTACAGAAGCTAAAGAAGCCACAGAAGCTGAAGAAGCCACAGAAGCCACAGAAGCCACAGAAGCTGAAGAAGTCACAGAAGCTAAAGAAGCCACAGAAGTCACAGAAGCTAAAGAAGCCACAGAAGCCACAGAAGCTGAAGAAGCCACAGAAGCTGAAGAAGCCACAGAAGCCACAGAAGCCACAGAAGCTGAAGAAGTCACAGAAGCTGAAGAAGCCACAGAAGCTGAAGAAGCCACAGAAGCCACAGAAGCTACAGAAGCTACAGAAGCCACAGAAGCTAAAGAAGCTACAGAAGCTACAGAAGCTACAGTACAGAAGCTACAGAAGCCACAGAAGCTGAAGAAGTCACAGAAGCTGAAGAAGCCACAGAAGCTGAAGAAGCCACAGAAGCCACAGAAGCTGAAGAAGTCACAGATGCTGAAGAAGCCACAGAAGCTGAAGAAGCCACAGAAGCTGAAGAAGCCACAGAAGCTGAAGAAGCCACAGAAGCCACAGAAGCCACAGAATCTGAAGAAGTCACAGAAGCTAAAGAACCCACAGAAGTCACAGAAGCTAAAGAAGCCACAGAAGCCACAGAAGCTGAAGAAGCCACAGAAGCCACAGAAGCTAAAGAAGCCACAGAAGCTAAAGAAGCTACAGAAGCTACAGAAGCTACAGAAGCTACAGAATCTACAGAAGCTACAGAAGCCACAGAAGCTAAAGAAGCTACAGAAGCTACAGAAGCTACAGTACAGAAGCTACAGAAGCCACAGAAGCTGAAGAAGCCACAGAAGCTACAGAAGCCACAGAAGCTACAGAAGCCACAGAATCTACAGAAGCCACAGAAGCTAAAGAAGCTAAAGAAGCCACAGAATCTAAAGAAGCTACAGAAGCTAAAGAAGCCACAGAAGCTACAGAAGCTGAATAAGTCACAGATGCTGAAGAAGCCACAGAAGCTGAAGAAGCCACAGAAGCTGAAGAAGCCACAGAAGCTGAAGAAGCCACAGAAGCCACAGAAGCCACAGAAGCTGAAGAAGTCACAGAAGCTAAAGAAGCCACAGAAGTCACAGAAGCTAAAGAAGCCACAGAAGCCACAGAAGCCACAGAAGCTGAAGAAGTCACAGAAGCTGAAGAAGCCACAGAAGCTGAAGAAGCCACAGAAGCCACAGAAGCTACAGAAGCTACAGAAGCCACAGAAGCTAAAGAAGCTACAGAAGCTACAGAAGCTACAGTACAGAAGCTACAGAAGCCACAGAAGCTGAAGAAGTCACAGAAGCTGAAGAAGCCACAGAAGCTGAAGAAGCCACAGAAGCCACAGAAGCTGAAGAAGTCACAGATGCTGAAGAAGCCACAGAAGCTGAAGAAGCCACAGAAGCTGAAGAAGCCACAGAAGCTGAAGAAGCCACAGAAGCTGAAGAAGCCACAGAAGCCACAGAAGCCACAGAAGCTGAAGAAGTCACAGAAGCTAAAGAACCCACAGAAGTCACAGAAGCTAAAGAAGCCACAGAAGCCACAGAAGCTGAAGATGCCACAGAAGCCACAGAAGCTAAAGAAGCCACAGAAGCTAAAGAAGCTACAGAAGCTACAGAAGCTACAGAAGCTACAGAAGCTACAGAAGCCACAGAAGCTAAAGAAGCTACAGAAGCTACAGAAGCTACAGTACAGAAGCTACAGAAGCCACAGAAGCTGAAGAAGCCACAGAAGCTACAGAAGCCACAGAAGCTGAAGAAGCTAAAGAAGCCACAGAAGCTAAAGAAGCTACAGAAGCTAAAGAAGCTAAAGAAGCCACAGAAGCTAAAGAAGCTACAGAAGCTACAGAACCCACAGAAGCTACAGAAGCTAAACAAGCTACAGAAGCTACAGAAGCCACAGAAGCTAAAGAAGCCACAGAAGCTACAGAAGCCACAGAAGCTACACAAGCTACAGAAGCTACAGTACAGAAGCTACAGAAGCCACAGAAGCTGAAGAAGCCACAGAAGCTACAGAAGCCACAGAAGCTACAGAAGCCACAGAAGCTAAAGAAGCTACAGAAGCTAAAGAAGCTACAGAAGCCACAGAAGCTAAAGAAGCTACAGAAGCCACAGAAGCTAAAGAAGCCACAGAAGCTAAAGAAGCTACAGAAGCCACAGAAGCTACAGACGCTACAGAAGCTACAGAAGCTACAGACGCTACAGAAGCCACAGAAGCTACAGAAGCCACAGAAGCTACAGAAGCTACAGAAGCTACAGAAGCTACAGAAGCCACAGAAGCTAAAGACGCTAAAGAAGCCACAGAAGCTAAAGAAGCTACAGAAGCTACAGAACCCACAGAAGCTACAGAAGCTAAAGAAGCTACAGAAGCTACAGAAGCCACAGAAGCTACAGTACAGAAGCTACAGAAGCTACAGAAGCCACAGAAGCTACAGAAGCTAAAGAAGCTACAGAAGCCACACAGAAGCTACAGTACAGAAGCTACAGAAGCTACAGAAGCCACAGAAGCTACAGTACAGAAGCTACAGAAGCTACAGAAGCCACAGAAGCTACAGTACAGAAGCTACAGAAGCCACAGGTCTGTACTGGTCTTTTCTGAACTTGGCTGGACTGGTCTGTACTGGTCTGTACTGGTCTTGACTGGTTTGGGCTGGTCTGGACTGGTTTAGACTGGTCTGGACTGGTCTCTACTTTTTGTACTGGTTTGGACTAGTCTTGACTTGTCTGGACTGGTCCTTACTGGTCTTGACTGGCCTGTAATGGTCTTGACTGGTCTGTACTGGTCTTGACTGGTCTGGTATGGTGTGGTTTCATAGTTACTATAGAGACATCAGTCTGTGTTGTGATGGAGCTCCACAGGGAGGTGTCCGTTTCCTGAGCTGTTATCTTGCCCCTGACACAATGTTCTGGTGAATCCTGGGATTATCTTTTGTTTTTAAACTCTGGTCCAGACGTCACTCACAGTCACATGAGGTCACTGAAAACTCTTATGATCCAAAGATATTCTGCATTATAGTCATGGTTACAATAACAATATCATTACAGAGCCTTAACGAGAGAAGTTAATGAACATACATGAGGGATGACAGCCTCCTCCAGGACATGTGCCGGTTTCTTCTCTGTTCATTTTCTTCTTTAACAACATTTCATATTTAAGTTTTAAACATTTAAAACAGTAAAACCATAAACAACCGCGTGTCCAAAGAAACAACCAAAACCCCTTTATAATTCTGCACTGAATGGAAATGATCAAAGTGACAACTGGTCAGGAGGGCCAGGTGAGGGACAGGAGGCCCCTGGACTCTGTGGAGGAGGTGAGGGACAGGAGGCCCCTGGACTCTGTGGAGGAGGTGAGGCACAGGAGGCCCCTGGACTCTGTGGAGGAGGTGAGGGACAGGAGGCCCCTGGACTCTGTGGAGGAGGTGAGGGACAGGAGGCCCCTGGACTCTGTGGAGGAGGTGAGGGACAGGAGGCCCCTGGACTCTGTGGAGGAGGTGAGGGACAGGAGGCCCCTGGACTCTGTGGAGGAGGTGAGGGACAGGAGGCCCCTGGACTCTGTGGAGGAGGTGAGGGACAGGAGGCCCCTGGACTCTGTGGAGGAGGTGAGGGACAGGAGGCCCCTGGACTCTGTGGAGGAGGTGAGGGACAGGAGGCCCCTGGACTCTGTGGAGGAGGTGAGGGACAGGAGGAGCCAAAGTCACCTCCATCATGAACAACACCTCCTGCACAGGACTGAGGAGGTCCTTCAGCGGAAGAAGGAGCAGGGCCTTTGTCCCCACCGCTGTCAGACTGTACAATAAGTCACTTTAAGTCACTGCACTAGGACTGATAAAACCTGCACTACTATTGACACTTCTAATCGCCACTTTTGAACATAATATGTCATGTTTGCACTTTTCTTACTTTTGCACAATCTGAGTGTTTCTATCTTTGCCAAACGTGACATGTAGATTTGTCCTGTGTGAGATTGATAAAGTACATCTTATCTTATCTTGTTTTTTGTTTAATAAATAACTGGACAGGGTTTTAAAACAATATGTATCCATCAAAAATGCATGAAATGGTTCGTTTTACTCTGGATATGATTATAACAGGCCATTTCTCAGTTAGAATGAAGGAAAAATGCTACGTTTTCTGTCTCCTGCCTCAAAAAACAACTGAAGTAAACCTGTAATCTGGTTTATACACTCTGTATTTTCAGATTGATGTCCACAATACAATAAATGAATATATAATTTAACTTTTTGAGTCATACTATCTCTACATGAAGCTTGGAACAGAAATCCACCTCATTGGGGCGTCTTCATCACTTGGTTTTAGGCACTTATACCACCAAGCTGTGTCTCAACCATTCAGTAAAGGCCTATCATTAAAAAACTAGAGGTTTGGGGGAAAAAATTGTGTTATTAGTGCTTCTTAGAAAACAATACATCGCTTTCTTCAAGTAGTGTACATTAAAAGGTTCATACATAATAAATACTGCTCTGCCAAAACAACTAGCTGCTTGTTAAAAAATAATCACGGAAATATCTAATAATACATGTGTTGTGTGTGAGGACGTCTGCATCTCTGCTCAGACGGCCACCACTGCGACCCGGCATCGGATAAAGCGGAGGTAAACAGAGATTCCGATGTGTTGCTGTGTCTGTGTGCTAAAGCGTTCTCCGCCTCACTCACACACACACAGACATTTGCTATAATCCCAGTGTAATGGGATTGGACGATTTTAATCCACACATGACCATTTAAAACCATCCCCCATAATCCCCTCTGTTTTCTCAGACACCTGCACCTTCCCAGGGCCACGGAGCGTTCATATCGCTGCGAAAACAAACACATTCAACAGGTAAGTCCCTCCATACATAACACATGCGTTTGGAGACACCAGGGAGGTCTGTGGAGGAGGTCAGGAGACACCAGGGAGGTCTGTGGAGGAGGTCAGGAGACACCAGGGAGGTCTGTGGAGGAGGTCAGAGGACACCAGGGAGGTCTGTGGAGGAGGTCAGGGGACACCAGGGAGGTCTGTGGAGGAGGTCAGGAGACACCAGGGAGGTCTGTGGAGGAGGTCAGGAGACACCAGGGAGGTCTGTGGAGGAGGTCAGGGGACACCAGGGAGGTCTGTGGAGGAGGTCAGGAGACACCAGGGAGGTCTGTGGAGGAGGTCAGGGGACACCAGGGAGGTCTGTGGAGGAGGTCAGGGGACACCAGGGAGGTCTGTGGAGGAGGTCAGGGGACACCAGGGAGGTCAAGGGAGGAGGTCAGGGGACACCAGGGAGGTCTGTGGAGGAGGTCAGGAGACACCAGGGAGGTCTGTGGAGGAGGTCAGGAGACACCAGGGAGGTCTGTGGAGGAGGTCAGAGGACACCAGGGAGGTCTGTGGAGGAGGTCAGGGGACACCAGGGAGGTCTGTGGAGGAGGTCAGGGGACACCAGGGAGGTCTGTGGAGGAGGTCAGGAGACACCAGGGAGGTCTGTGGAGGAGGTCAGGGGACACCAGGGAGGTCTGTGGAGGAGGTCAGGGGACACCAGGGAGGTCTGTGGAGGAGGTCAGAGGACACCAGGGAGGTCTGTGGAGGAGGTCAGAGGACACCAGGGAGGTCTGTGGAGGAGGTCAGGAGACACCAGGGAGGTCTGTGGAGGAGGTCAGGAGACACCAGGGAGGTCTGTGGAGGAGGTCAGGGGACACCAGGGAGGTCTGTGGAGGAGGTCAGGGGACACCAGGGAGGTCAAGGGAGGAGGTCAGGGGACACCAGGGAGGTCAAGGGAGGAGGTCAGGAGACACCAGGCAGGTCTGTGGAGGAGGTCAGGAGACACCAGGGAGGTCTGTGGAGGAGGTCAGAGGACACCAGGGAGGTCTGTGGAGGAGGTCAGAGGACACCAGGGAGGTCTGTGGAGGAGGTCAGAGGACACCAGGGAGGTCTGTGGAGGAGGTCAGGGGACACCAGGGAGGTCAAGGGAGGAGGTCAGGGGACACCAGGGAGGTCAAGGGAGGAGGTCAGGAGACACCAGGCAGGTCTGTGGAGGAGGTCAGGAGACACCAGGGAGGTCTGTGGAGGAGGTCAGAGGACACCAGGGAGGTCTGTGGAGGAGGTCAGAGGACACCAGGGAGGTCTGTGGAGGAGGTCAGGAGACACCAGGGAGGTCTGTGGAGGAGGTCAGGGGACACCAGGGAGGTCTGTGGAGGAGGTCAGGGGACACCAGGGAGGTCAAGGGAGGAGGTCAGGGGACACCAGGGAGGTCAAGGGAGGAGGTCAGGAGACACCAGGCAGGTCTGTGGAGGAGGTCAGGGGACACCAGGGAGGTCTGTGGAGGAGGTCAGGAGACACCAGGGAGGTCTGTGGAGGAGGTCAGAGGACACCAGGGAGGTCTGTGGAGGAGGTCAGAGGACACCAGGGAGGTCTGTGGAGGAGGTCAGGGGACACCAGGGAGGTCTGTGGAGGAGGTCAGGGGACACCAGGGAGGTCTGTGGAGGAGGTCAGGGGACACCAGGGAGGTCTGTGGAGGAGGTCAGGGGACACCAGGGAGGTCTGTGGAGGAGGTCAGGGGACACCAGGGAGGTCTGTGGAGGAGGTCAGGGGACACCAGGGAGGTCTGTGGAGGAGGTCAGGGGACACCAGGGAGGTCTGTGGAGGAGGTCAGGGGACACCAGGGAGGTCTGTGGAGGAGGTCAGGGGACACCAGGGAGGTCTGTGGAGGAGGTCAGGGGACACCAGGGAGGTCTGTGGAGGAGGTCAGGGGACACCAGGGAGGTCTGTGGAGGAGGTCAGGGGACACCAGGGAGGTCTGTGGAGGAGGTCAGGGGACACCAGGGAGGTCTGTGGAGGAGGTCAGGGGACACCAGGGAGGTCTGTGGAGGAGGTCAGGGACACCAGGGAGGTCTGTGGAGGAGGTCAGGGGACACCAGGGAGGTCTGTGGAGGAGGTCAGGGGACACCAGGGAGGTCTGTGGAGGAGGTCAGGGGACACCAGGGAGGTCTGTGGAGGAGGTCAGGGGACACCAGGGAGGTCTGTGGAGGAGGTCAGGGGACACCAGGGAGGTCTGTGGAGGAGGTCAGAGGACACCAGGGAGGTCTGTGGAGGAGGTCAGGGGACACCAGGGAGGTCTGTGGAGGAGGTCAGGGGACACCAGGGAGGTCTGTGGAGGAGGTCAGGGGACACCAGGGAGGTCTGTGGAGGAGGTCAGGGGACACCAGGGAGGTCTGTGGAGGAGGTCAGGGGACACCAGGGAGGTCTGTGGAGGAGGTCAGGGGACACCAGGGAGGTCTGTGGAGGAGGTCAGGGGACACCAGGGAGGTCTGTGGAGGAGGTCAGGGGACACCAGGGAGGTCTGTGGAGGAGGTCAGGGGACACCAGGGAGGTCTGTGGAGGAGGTCAGGGGACACCAGGGAGGTCTGTGGAGGAGGTCAGGGGACACCAGGGAGGTCTGTGGAGGAGGTCAGGGGACACCAGGGAGGTCTGTGGAGGAGGTCAGGGACACCAGGGAGGTCTGTGGAGGAGGTCAGGGACACCAGGGAGGTCTGTGGAGGAGGTCAGGGGACACCAGGGAGGTCTGTGGAGGAGGTCAGGGGACACCAGGGAGGTCTGTGGAGGAGGTCAGGGGACACCAGGGAGGTCTGTGGAGGAGGTCAGGGGACACCAGGGAGGTCTGTGGAGGAGGTCAGGGGACACCAGGGAGGTCTGTGGAGGAGGTCAGGGGACACCAGGGAGGTCTGTGGAGGAGGTCAGGGGACACCAGGGAGGTCTGTGGAGGAGGTCAGGGGACACCAGGGAGGTCTGTGGAGGAGGTCAGGGGACACCAGGGAGGTCTGTGGAGGAGGTCAGGGGACACCAGGGAGGTCTGTGGAGGAGGTCAGGGGACACCAGGGAGGTCTGTGGAGGAGGTCAGGGGACACCAGGGAGGTCTGTGGAGGAGGTCAGGGGACACCAGGGAGGTCTGTGGAGGAGGTCAGGGGACACCAGGGAGGTCTGTGGAGGAGGTCAGGGGACACCAGGGAGGTCTGTGGAGGAGGTCAGGGGACACCAGGGAGGTCTGTGGAGGAGGTCAGGGGACACCAGGGAGGTCTGTGGAGGAGGTCAGGGGACACCAGGGAGGTCTGTGGAGGAGGTCAGGGGACACCAGGGAGGTCTGTGGAGGAGGTCAGGGGACACCAGGGAGGTCTGTGGAGGAGGTCAGAGGACACCAGGGAGGTCTGTGGAGGAGGTCAGGGGACACCAGGGAGGTCTGTGGAGGAGGTCAGGGGACACCAGGGAGGTCTGTGGAGGAGGTCAGAGGACACCAGGGAGGTCTGTGGAGGAGGTCAGGGGACACCAGGGAGGTCTGTGGAGGAGGTCAGGAGTCACACCAGGGAGGTCTGTGGAGGAGGTCAGGGGACACCAGGGAGGTCTGTGGAGGAGGTCAGGGGACACCAGGGAGGTCTGTGGAGGAGGTCAGGGGACACCAGGGAGGTCTGTGGAGGAGGTCAGGGGACACCAGGGAGGTCTGTGGAGGAGGTCAGGAGACACCAGGGAGGTCTGTGGAGGAGGTCAGGAGACACCAGGGAGGTCAAGGGAGGAGGTCAGGGGACACCAGGCAGGTCTGTGGAGGAGGTCAGGAGACACCAGGGAGGTCTGTGGAGGAGGTCAGGGGACACCAGGGAGGTCTGTGGAGGAGGTCAGGAGACACCAGGGAGGTCTGTGGAGGAGGTCAGGGGACACCAGGGAGGTCTGTGGAGGAGGTCAGGAGACACCAGGGAGGTCTGTGGAGGAGGTCAGGAGACACCAGGCAGGTCTGTGGAGGAGGTCAGGAGACACCAGGGAGGTCTGTGGAGGAGGTCAGGGGACACCAGGGAGGTCTGTGGAGGAGGTCAGGAGACACCAGGGAGGTCAAGGGAGGAGGTCAGGGGACACCAGGGAGGTCAAGGGAGGAGGTCAGGAGACACCAGGCAGGTCTGTGGAGGAGGTCAGGGGACACCAGGGAGGTCTGTGGAGGAGGTCAGGAGACACCAGGGAGGTCTGTGGAGGAGGTCAGGAGACACCAGGGAGGTCTGTGGAGGAGGTCAGGGAGACACACAGGGAGGTCTGTGGAGGAGGTCAGGGGACACCAGGGAGGTCTGTGGAGGAGGTCAGGGGACACCAGGGAGGTCTGTGGAGGAGGTCAGGGGACACCAGGGAGGTCTGTGGAGGAGGTCAGGAGACACCAGGGAGGTCTGTGGAGGAGGTCAGGGGACACCAGGGAGGTCTGTGGAGGAGGTCAGAGGACACCAGGGAGGTCTGTGGAGGAGGTCAGAGGACACCAGGCAGGTCTGTGGAGGAGGTCAGGGGACACCAGGGAGGTCTGTGGAGGAGGTCAGGGGACACCAGGGAGGTCTGTGGAGGAGGTCAGGGGACACCAGGGAGGTCTGTGGAGGAGGTCAGAGGACACCAGGGAGGTCTGTGGAGGAGGTCAGGGGACACCAGGGAGGTCTGTGGAGGAGGTCAGGAGACACCAGGGAGGTCTGTGGAGGAGGTCAGGGGACACCAGGGAGGTCTGTGGAGGAGGTCAGGAGACACCAGGGAGGTCTGTGGAGGAGGTCAGGGGACACCAGGGAGGTCTGTGGAGGAGGTCAGAGGACACCAGGGAGGTCTGTGGAGGAGGTCAGGGGACACCAGGGAGGTCTGTGGAGGAGGTCAGAGGTAGGAATGAGTCGTACGTACAAACCGAGGCAGGACTGGTTCAATGTTTTTACTAAAATATATCAAAATGATTCTTAAAAGCTGTTGAACCGAGAGCTGAGAAGTGGACCGTGTTTGAGTTTAAGATTAAATTAATAATCCAATATTTGTGTATAGCTCTGTCGGCCATTTTAATGAAAACATGACTCTGAGACAAAAACGCACTTTTATTGATATTATAGTTTACCTTTTGGCTTCTGTTCCTAGTTTTGTTTTTGTGGATTTTAATTTTGTGATTTTGTTGCTGTTTATTTTATTATTTTTTTGGATGATTCTAAATTTTGGAATTTTCTAAAATAACAGTTAATTAAATTGCGTTCAATACATTTTCTATTTTTGAAGGGAAATGAAAAATTGAAAAAAGGCACACAAATTTTCATTGCTTATAAGACATATATATATTATAATAACCGGATTTGGGAACTAGAAAATGCAATAATTAACCTTTTAATGTATTTAATAAATTTTGGCGTCAATCGATTACCCGGAAGAGAAACAAGTTTGTTTACTCGCACAGGTTTAGTATCACCTGTGGACCCCTGATCATTTGTGATAAATTTGGAGAACGTCTGAGTTTTTGCAGTGCATTGACACGGGAGAAGCAACATCTGTAAAATACTGTTGTCTCTGACGTCTCACATAACGGCTGCAGGTGCAGGTCTCTCTGCTTCACACAGTCCAGAGAGTCTGACCACAGATAATACAGACTATGGACCACAGCCACAGAGACATGAGGACAAACATTTCACTGCTCTACAGTTCTCTGGCCTGTACTGTAATGTTTAATAATAGTTTGTATGGACTTACTCTGCGAAGATAAATGCGAGCGACAAATAGTAACGGCTGCAGTACCACAGTAAAACAGCACAGACTTTTTCCGATTGTCCATTTCCCTTCAAAAATAGAAAATGTATTGAACGCAAAAGTACACGGACCGTGATGCTGTCTGTTCAGAAAAAAAAAAACTCAAAATGTTTTAATAAATAAATAAATAATATCTTCATAAACTAGAATCAAGTC